TTGCGACGCTTTGCGTTACTTGCGCGCCACAGCCTCCATGGCAGGGGACGCGCTTTGGGGTGACCTGGTTTTCGTTCTTCCCTGTTCCAAGGTGTGGGTCTCCCAGGTTGTCTGCAGGATTATTCGGTCCAGCCAGCCTGCAGTCTATTCCTGTGCTCATGACGTTTGTAAGTTCGCGGCTTTGGCTGCTGCTTTTGGCAATATGTCCTGGGATGACATTTGGGCACGTGGCTTTTGGAGGTCAAACAGGGTCCTAGCCGCACGGTACCTTGTTTATGTTCCTGGGCCCTTCTCGGGGTGTGTGTGTGTGTAGCCTTGGGTCGTAGGTTGCAGCCAATTGTCTCGACTTTGAGTTGAGGAATGAGTGATGGCTGTCTCCTGGGTAAGTCACTCTTTTCCTTTATCATTGGTTAGGTAGCTTCAGGGAGCTTCAGGGATCATTTTTTTAGTGAGACCCAGAGGCTTTCCAGCATCCCTACCTCCCTCCGGTCGACAGTTTTTTAGCATTTTTGAAATTCAGCCTCTGAACTGGGGTTGGGTAACTGGTGCGGGAGGTCTGGAAACCCCTCCCCCCCTTCCCATCCTGAGAAGGGGGGAGTTGTGCAGACAGCGGTGCGGCGGCTGTGGTGACGTCATGCTTGTTTTCTTGTTTTCGATTGGGGAGTTCTGCTTGCTAGTTTGGCTTTCAGTTTGCAAATTTTAACCAACTGTAGTTTGTTTTGGAATTCTTATTTTTCTGGGTGCCTGACCTGGTAGATGGCAGACATAGACTGCTTACAATTACACGAGGGTATCTATAGCCCATTGCTCCTCATGCCTCTCTGAGAGAGGCCAGGTTCCGGCGCTGGTCCCCAGTAGGTTTAGAACTCAATCGATTGACTGTTGCCATGGTCTAATATATAGACCATGGCAACAGTCTATAGCGGTTCGAATGAATAGGGGTTCGGCTATTAGCAGATTATTTAGTAGTCTTGGGTGCCGGTTTGCAGTACTCTGCCTCGGCTTCCCTTAGCGTGTTAATAAGGCTAAGGACCCTGTGAAACCCCGCAGGGGGCTCCGTGGTCTGATGGATGTAACCCCCTTGAGTACCCTCTCACTTTGTGTGAGTTGGAAGGTTGCTCTGTCCCATTGTCTCTGGGGAACAATCACTGGTTGTGCCTTTGCCATGCTGCCTGTTGGGTTGGTGATATCTTTGACCCAGAGTTGTGCGATGTTTGTTGCCTGTACATGCTCCAGTTCATCTAAGCTACTGATCATGATACGAGGGTGCATTAGGCAGCTGCATTGCATGCTAGGTTTAGGTTGCTGCAAAGCGCTAGGTTAATTGCATCCCTGGATGCCCCAAAACTGCCCTGTTTAAGTTTTAGGGACCCTAAAACCAAAATTTTTTTATTTAGAAAAAAACCAGCGTTGAATGTAATGAAACATCATTTTCTGGGTGAGCCCCGGAGGCTCCTTGGAAAACTCCCAATGCACCCATCTTAGTGGGTGCGTTGGACGTGGTCAATCCGCCCCATCCTTCTGGGGTTCCCGACTGCTCTTTGCAGACATGGGCCTGTTGCATCTGCGGTTCTTCTGGACTTCTTCAGTCTGCGCCCTGGATTCTATGCCCTCATCGGAGGACTGTTGTCTCTTTTCCGGCTTCTGTTGTGGCCGGGTGTCTGGATGGTGGCCCTAGACCTCCAGGTCAATTCTTGGCACGTTCCTCTCCAGTTTTCCGGGACTGGCACAGTTGGTGGTGGGGCTTCAGGCTTGTCGCTTTTGTTGCCGTCCCTATTTTGTAATTGGCACTTGGTGTATTTTGCATCTTTACCGGATCTTGGTGCCCTGTCTGAGTCTTTTTGGGATTCGGTGTCTGGCCTATCTCGATGACAGACTGGTGTGGGCTCCCAGTCGGTCTGCTTGTCTGCTCGCCAGGGGTGTGGTTCTTTCCAGATCGCCGGTTTGGTTTCCAGGTGATCTGGAGGCCATTTCATCTGTTTCCGTCCTGGGTTCGGACCTAGCTGGGCCTTGTTTAGGGCTCTTGGGCCGCTCCTTGTCTTTCCCTCCAGAAGTGTTGCTGCGGCTGTGGTCCCGCCTTTGGCAGTTCATGAGGGGGTCTTGGGTTGCTAAGCAGTTGCTCGAGCAGTTGTGCGGGAGTCTGAACTTTCACATGCTGGTCTGCCCGCGGGGTCGGGTTTGGCTTCGGCGTCTGTTTGGTTTCTTCGGAGACTCCCCTTCCACCTCTCTTGCAATCGTTGGGTTTGATCCTCCAGGGATTTTGTGTTGGTGCTGCGTCACCAGCTTCCTCTTTGGGGTTTTCGGAGTTCTGTGCCTTGGCACCTCCCCGAGCCTTCGCTCGATGTGTTCACGGACGAGTCATCTCTCAGCTGGGGCTTTGTGACCTGTGCTCACCAGGTCGGCCAGGGATGGTGGGGTCTGTCCATCCCTTAGGCTCACAGCATGGTTAGGGAGTTTGTGGCTGTCTGGTTTGTGCTTCGGAGGATTTGGGTCACTTGGTGCTCTACCATTCAGCTCCATTTGGACTGTTCTCTGGCGGTTCTTTGCCGGAACCACAGAGTTTCTCTTAGGTGTTGACCTTTGGAGTTGGTTCCTTAGAGTGGCTCGTTTGCTGGACTCTCGGGGTTTGGCTAACCGTGAGGTTCATGTCCAGGGTGTGTCCTGCATACTGGCAGACAGCTGTCTTGGTTCATTCCTCTGTTCGCGGATTGGCCATTTGTCGCCGACTTGTTTCGTTGGCTCTGCCGGACGTATGGACTCCTGGCCATGGATGTCTTCGAGTTGGCGTGGTCTAGGCATCGCCCATTTTATGTGGCGCTCTTACCCGCATGCGAGGCGTTCATGGTGGATGCTTTTCGGCAGGACTGGTCGAGGTGGGGGTACCTGTTCCTCTTCTCCCGGTCCAGTTGTTGCTTCAGGTTCTGGCTCGGTTTGAGCCCATTCCCACGAAAGTAGTCCTTATGGTTCCTTGGTGACCAGCCCAGCTTTATTTTCAGACGCTGCTTCATAGGTGTCTGAAGCCGGGGCGTTTTCCCGCGGCTCCGCTTCTTTCGGCAGGTCGGATTGGTTCTCTGTGACTGCTTCGGCATTCTCCTCAGCTCTTCGCATCTGGTATTTTGACGCGAGTATCACCATCTCTGCGGTGATCAGGTGGCTTTGTTGATGGTGTCCCACCTGTGAGCTTTGTCTTGGCGACAGTATGACATTCCTGGTGTTTCTATGCACTTTTTCTTGCTCTTTATAGGTTGTTTTCTCTTTCGCATCAGGTTGTCTTGTCCTTTTTTGGGTTTTCAGGACTACAGTTAATTGATGTTTCTTACTGTTGCCTCGTTTTGTGCGGCGCTGGCGGAGCCGCTCTGGCTTGCATTCAGGGTGGACATCACATCTGCCCCGTTTCATACTCTTTCTCGTGTTTTGTTTCACCTCCAGTATGCTCATGCGTTGCCTGAGCATACTGGTCTTTGATCAGGGTGCCTTCTTATCTTTTCAGTTTGTGGTAGCCCCTTTGGTTCAGGTTTCTGCTCTTTGGTACTGGTGGTAGGTTTGTACATTTGTAGCCTTTCTCCGTCCTGGCGACGGTTGAGACGGCTGTTTTCTGGAGGGGTTCTTGGGTTATTGATGCTTGATTGGTTTGGCCAAGGGTGCGTCCTGTGTTGTCCTGTTGCGCTTTTTGCCGTTACCTGCGTACCATGTCTGGGGATGCGTTTTGGGTTGATCCGGTTCCCCTCGTTCCCTGTTTCAGGGCTCGGGTCTCCCAGGTCGTCCGCAGAGTTATTCAGTCTTCCAGCCTGCACTCTGTCCATGCGCCTGTGCTGTTCGGACGTTTGCAGCTTTTGCTGCTGTGTTGGTAATGTCTAGGGCTCATTTCGGGCGCAGGGATTTGAGGGTCGCGCAGGTTCTTGGCCGCCCATTCTTTATGAGCGTCTGCTCCTGTGCAGTGTTGATGCCTTGGGTTGCAGGTTGCAGCCTGTTGTCTCTGCTTCACGTTGCGGAGTTTGTGGCGGCCTCCTCCCGAGTTAGCCCTTTCTTTTTCTTCTCTTTGGGTATGAAGCTCCAGGGAGTCATAGGGGCTCCCCACAGAAAACCAGCATTGAATGTAATGAAAAGCCATTTGCTGGGTGAGCCCTGGAGGCTCCCTAGCAACCCTCCCTCCCCACCGGTCGGCGGTTTTTCGCGTTGGTTGAAGCTTAGCTTCCGAACTGAAGCTAGGCAGCTGGCGCGGTGGGTCCGGGGCACCCCTATTCCCCTCTCGGGGCGGGGAGGGCTGCGCGGACGGCGCGCCAGTAAAGTGTGATGTTTGCTTGTTTCTTTGGGATTGTTGGAGTTTCTACCTTTCTGTTCGATTTTTTGTTTTAGTTTTTACCATGTGGGGTTTGTTTTGTTATGCCTACCTTTCCAGGTGCCTGACCCCGGTCGATGGCAGATAAGGAAAACCCAAACCGCAAGGGGGTTTTCCAGGGCCATTGCTCCCTGAAACCTCTCTGAAGGGGCCAGGTTCTGGCGCTGGTCCCTGGTAGGTCTGAACTCCTTAGCTAATGTCCTGGTCTAATATAACATACATTAGCCCAATAAGCTCCAGGGAGCCTCCGGGGCTCACCCAGAAAATGGCGTTTCATTACATTCAACGCTGGTTTTTTGGGAACACTTTATTTCATGCGCACCAGGGGAATTTCACAATAAACTCGGCGCAGTATGGTGGTTAAATAGTGCTTCATTCTGGTGGCAGGAAAAAAAGTGGTGGGGCAGTAGTTTGGACACATGGGATAATTTTGAGTTTTGTTTATTATTTATTCATACAAATATTGTTTTCTCATTATTATTAGTATGTGAATATCTGCTTTTGGCTATTTTAGTTGGGTTTTCATAATATGTGGACTCATCTGAAATTGGCCTATTGGGTAAAAATTCATATGCTTTGGGGAGCAGCTTGTGATGGGGGGGGGGGAACACTCTGTAAACCTTATTAAACATTATTAATTCAAATGTATTTTCTTTTACAGCTTTCAGTGTTCATTCAAACAGAAGAACCATCAGGACTTATTCTCTTTATGGGCACACCTGTTGGAGGTAGTCAGCGAATGCGTCGCACAACTACTGATGATTTTATGGCCCTTGAAGTGGACCGTGGTTTTGTACGCCTCACTATGGATCTTGGAGCTGGTGCACACACTATTGAATACAGCAAGTTGTACATTGCTGATGGTGTTTGGAGTAAGATCACTGTGGAAAGGTAAATAAATAGTAAAATAAAAAGAAAAATAAGTAATTTATAAAAAAAAATCTATGTGGGGGGGGGGGGGGAAGGCAGGATGTGCCTTGAAACTCCCAGAAGCTATTATTACTGGTTTAGTGTCATACTACTATCTTGAGATCTTGAGATGATTTCGGGGCTTTTAGTGTCCCCGCGTGTTATTAATTGCAGAGTTCTATTGGCCTACCAGGGGCCCGAAGCCATAACCTTGCATCCCCCTTAGAGAGGTGCAGGAAGCAGTGGCAGTATGAACACCCTACATTTAAGGTGTTCATACGGTGTGAAAAAAGGATGTTCGCTAGGTTGGCACATCGTGGTTTATCATCTTCAGGTGTTAGGGGTTGCATCTTAGCCTACCTTGATGACTGGTTGGTTTGGAGACAAATCCAGTCAGTGTGTTTGAAGCCAAAGATCTTGTTCTTTCCCAGCTCACCAGGTTTGGGTTTCTGGTGAATAGTCAAAAGTCCCTTTTGGTTCCATTGCAGGCTTGGACCTGGTTGGGCCTGGTCTGCGATTCCTCATTGGCTTTCTTCTCCCTCTTGTGTCCTTGCTCTGCTTGGATGCTTCTCTTCAGCTGGAGGTGGAGAGTTTCTAGGTCACTTTTTGTTTGCTGAACCAAATGTGTGAAAGCCTGAACTTTGCTTGTGTGGTTTAACCTCTGGGTAAAATTTGGCCCCCCAGTGTTGTTCTGTTTTCTTTGGTTCCATCCCTTCATCCAAGGAACCTGACAGCTGAGTGGACAGCACTTCAGATTCGTAGCCCTGAGGTTCCGGGTTCAATCCATAGTGGAGGCGGAGACAAATGGGCAAAATGTTTCTTTCACCCTGATGCCCCTGTTACCTAGCAGTAAATAGGTACCTGGGAGTTAGACAGCTGCTAAAGGCTGCTTCCTGGCGGGTGTGTAACAAAAAGGAGGCCTGGTTGAGGACTGGGCCGCGGGACGCTAAGCCCCGAAATCTTCTCAAGATAACCTTTTGCCACTGCCAGGATTATCAGGTGCAGGCTCAATTGGCCCTAGAACCATCTGATTTGCTAGCTTCCTCTTTGGGCATTTAGGGTTCTGCACTGTGGCGACTTCCATCCCCTGCATTTGACATTTTTCTCTGATGCCTTGGCTCTATGTTTGGGATTTGTGACCACACACTCATGTGGTCACTTATGCTGGTTAAGAGGGTTCTATGAGTCAAGTGCACAGCACATTGTGCAAGCTTATGATAATTTAGCATGCTATGCAGTTGCTTCGTCTCCTGGCAGGTTCTATCATCAGGCTCCACTTGACTGCTCCAGTGGTTCATTGACTTAACTGTGGGGGAAATGGGGTTGCTTTGGTCTCTTCCCTTGTGGGGCTAAGCTTTATTGGTAACTCATTTTTTTATTCTCATGGTTTAGCTCTCATTCAAAGCATGTCCCATGGAGCAGACCAAAGATATTTATTTCTGTTTGCTTGTGAGGTGTTTGGCAACCCCTTCCCCCCCAAGGTGAACCTGCCTCACACCTTCAGCCTTCCCTCACATGTTTAGCCTTCCCTCACACCTTTATCCTATCTTGAGGTTATCTTGAGATGATTTCGGGGCTTTTTAGTGTCCCCGCAGCCCGGTCCTCGACCAGGCTCCACACCCAGGAAGCAGCCCGGGACAACTGACTAACACCGAGGTACCTATTTTACTGCTAGGTAACAAGGGCATAGGGTGAGAGAAACTCTGCCCATTGTTTCTCGCCAGCGCCTGGGATCAAACCCAGGACCATAGGATCACAAGTCCATCATGCTGTCCGCTCGGCCGACCGGCTCCTGCCTATACTCCTTTAACTTGCCCTTAGACATTTAACCTGCCTTCACACCTTTAGCCTGCCCTTACACCTTTAGCCTGCCCTTACACCTTTAGCCTGCCCTTACACCTATAGCCTGCTCTCACACAACTGTGGAGAGAGATGGGGGAGAGCATAATTTTTTTTAATACTTTATGATAGTTTATTCCATGCCTTACCCAACCATTTGGACTGAATGTTAGAGCAATGATCTTGCTTCTTGCAGGTTAGAGTTCAATCCCTAACCATACCAAGTGGTTGCGCACCATTCTTTTCCTCTGTCCTATCCTAAATCCTTATTTCTCTATCCCTTCCAAGTGCTATATAGCTAAAATGGCTTAGCACTTTCTCCTGGTAATTACATTACCTTACCATATTGTGTTCCTGTTATATAGGATTATGTATATCCTCTTGATTTAACTTTCATACCAAAAATGGTTATTATGATTAATATAGAATAACTTTTAGATTTACTGCCATATACTTATTATTACAGAACCGGGAAGTTGGTGAAGTTATCTGTGGATCGTGAAGAAATGGAAGGTGAACCAATGGAGAAAGTATTACCTGGCAGGTACTCAGTGTTCAATCTTGATCCAAAAGTATCCAAGATTTACATTGGTGGAATTCCTGCTGGAATTGATGTTAATAGTGCCATCAGTAGTACTTCATTCTATGGGCAGCTGGAAGACCTTCGTCTTAACGACCAACCCATTGGACTGTGGAATTTTATGACAGATGGTACTAACAACAATCAGCAACGTGGTGCTTTGGAAAGGTTAGATAAAATCTTATAAATATTTTAAAAATTCAGATAATGTCAGTATTATAAAGAATAAGGTACATTATTATACTATATTTCATTAATTATTATTTGTATGGTACACAACATTTTATAAATACTGTCTATACCCAGTAATCCAAATCATATGGGACCCACCCCAATATGAATTAACTGAACATTTGACTTACCTATATTTCTTACCAAGAATATCCAGAAATTAATAGCTATAATTTTTTTGTACCGCAACATTGTTACACCTGCCACATAACCACACATTCCCATCATTTACCTGATTACTCTGGCATTTTAATTTAATAATAATTCATTATGATGGGGGACAGAGAGCTAGAGTATATTTATATGTGTTAGGCTTATATTGAGGTCCTCCCCCAAGGTCGAATTACTGACCCCCCAGGATGCAGCCCCACAACAAGCTGACTAACTCCTGGTTACCTACTTACTGTTAGGTGAATAGGAGTATTTGGTGATAAGAAATGCCGCCATCCATTTCTGTCTTGCCCAGGATTCGAACCTTCTCGATTGTGAGTCAAGAATGAACCCAGCTGTACTACTGGGACACTTTAATGGTTACTCCTACCATTTGCTCTAAAACGGTGAATGCAAATTAATTCGGGTTACCTGAAAATTTGGGTTAACAGAATTCACATTACCGAACTCTTACAGTACTGAATAGGAATATAAATTCCTGTGCAGCTTCTTCACCCATATGTCACCACTTCTGTGACTGTTCCTGCCTTTTTTTTTTTTGTAGGGCTTTTCCTGCACGGGCCATAAGCTTCTGGCTGGCCCACAAAGTGTTACTCATTTCTCGCTTCTGTCTTACTTAGGTGGTATATGAGTATTTATGACTCATATAAATGGTACAGTGGGTTTTAAAGCTCCAATTTTAGAGTCTGATTTTTGGGTAAGAAGGGCGTGATACTGGTGCTAAGTGGCCGACAAAGGCATAAAGTGTTCCAGCTGCAATAGAGCATCTAATTAAGATGCTTATTTGAAAATTAAATAAGTATATATATATATATATATATATATATATATATATATATATATATATATATATATATATATATATATATATATATATATATATATATATATATATATATATATATATATATATATATATATATATATATATATATATATATATATATATATATATATATATATATATATATATATATATATATATATATATATATATATACATATATATATATATACATATATATATATATATATATATGTCGTACCTAGTAGCCAGAACTCACTTCTCAGCCTACTATTCAAGGCCCGATTTGCCTCATAAGCCAAGTTTTCCTGAATTAATATATTTACTATAGTTTTTTTCTTATGAAATGATAAAGCAACCCTTTTCTCTATGTATGAGGTCAATTTTTTTTTTATTGGAGTTAAAATTAACGTAGATATATGACCGAACCTAACCAACCCTACCTAACCTAACCTAACCTATATTTATAGGTAAGGTTAGGTTAGGTAGCCAAAAAAAGCTAGGTTAGGTTAGGTTAGGTAGGTTAGGTAGACGAAAAAACATTAATTCATGAAAACTTGGCTTATTAGGCAAATCGGGCCTTGAATAGTAGGCTGAGAAGTGCGTTCTGGCTATTAGGTACGACATATATATATATATATATATATATATGTCGTACCTAATAGCCAGAACGCACATATATATATATATATATATATGTCGTACCTAGTAGCCAGAACGCACTTCTCAGCCTACTATGCAAGGCCCAATTTGCCTAATAAGCCAAGTTTTCATGAATTAATGGTTTTTCGTCAATCTAACCTACCTAACCTAACCTAACCTAACTTTTTCGGCTACCTAACCGAACCTAACCTTTAAAGATAGGTTAGGTTAGGTTAGGTAGGGTTGGTTAGGTTCGGTCATATAACTACGTTAATTTTAACTCCAATAAAAAAAAATTGACCTCATACATAATGAAATGGGTAGCTGTATCATTTCATAAGAAAAAAAATTGAGAAAATATATTAATTCAGGAAAACTTGGCTTATTAGGCAAATCGGGCCTTGCATAGTAGGCTGAGAAGTGAGTTCTGGCTATTAGGTACGACATATATATATATATATATATATATATGTATATATATATGTATATATATATGTATATATATATGTATATATATATGTATATATATATGTATATATATATGTATATATGTATATATATATGTATATATATATGTATATATATATGTATATATATATGTATATATATATGTATATATATATGTATATATATATGTATATATATATGTATATATATATGTATATATATATATATATATATATATATATATATATATATATATATATATTAATATATATATATATATTATTGCCTCGCAAACGTCAAGCCGCCTGCTATCGCTGTATCTATCGATACAGCGATAGCAGTTTGCGAGGCACTACACATCAAGAAGTCAACACCAGCAATCAACAGCCAATTATTGCACAACTATATTCTACCCACCTCAAGACTCCGCTCCAATATAGAAGCATCAAGAAATATGGACCAATAGGCTTTCTACAAACACTTCTATTCAATACCCATTGTTTGTGTTCTGTCTTGTGTTGATACTTTTAATACCCTATTAATATCCCCTCTTGTTCTGTCTTGTGTTAATGCCACATCACCCCTCCCACCTCACTCAAATGTAGATATAAAATCGGAGATACGTAAGTTCTATTCAGTTGTGTATTTGTGAACTAAAGTCTTTGAAAATGTAATAAGTTTTACGAAACGCGCCCATGTCGCGTCAGACTAGAAATAAAAATGAATTTTGGAGAATTAATTTTTGATTTACCTCCAACAGTGAAGCGTAATGTACGAAAGATTGAGAAAATTCGTGTTAGAATTATTAATCTTACTTTTTCGGTCATATTTAATAATATATGTCTACAGGAAAGACTGCTACCAAAATATACTAATATATATATATATATATATATATATATATATATATATATATATATATATATATATATATATATACAACTTTAGAACACTTTCCCACCAGGAGACTCGAACCCTAGCCAGCACAGAAGCCTTCCAGCAACTGGCATAACAAGTACGCCTTAACCCGCTCCTCCACCCGCTCAGACCCTTGAAAGAGATGGTAATTTTGGAGTATTTAAACACCCCAAAGATCAACACCTCCCAAGAGCACCAGAGCAAGTGAGGGGTCATTTATATGTTAATTTCATCAAGTCCCTGTTAATATGGGAAGACACAGTGTCTCTGCTTAAGGCACAACTCTCCTAAACACGAGAGTTAAGTATACAACTTTAGAACACTTTCCCACCAGGAGACTCGAACCCTAGCCAGCACAGAAGCCTTCCAGCAACTGGCATAACAAGTACGCCTTAACCCGCTCCACCACCCGCTCAGACCCTTAAAAAGAGATGGTAATTTTGGAGTATTTAAATACCCCAAAGATCAACACCTCCCAAGAGCACCAGAGGAAGTGAGGGGTCATTTATACGTTAATTTCATCAAGTCCCTGTTAATATGGGAAGACACAGTGTCTCTGCTTAAGGCACAACTCTCCTAAACACGAGAGTTAAGTATACAACTTTAGAACACTTTCCCACCAGGAGACTCGAACCCTAGCCAGCACAGAAGCCTTCCAGCAACTGGCATAACAGGTACGCCTTATTATTTATATATATATATATATATATATATATATGTCGTACCTAGTAGCCAGAACTCACTTCTCAGCCTACTATTCAAGGCCCGATTTGCCTAATAAGCCAAGTTTTCATGAATTAATATATTTACTATAATTTTTTTCTTATGAAATGATAAAGCAACCCTTTTCTCTATGTATGAGGTCAATTTTTTTTTATTGGAGTTAAAATTAACGTAGATATATGACCGAACCTAACCAACCCTACCTAACCTAACCTAACCTATATTTATATGTAAGGTTAGGTTAGGTAGCCAAAAAAAGCTAGGTTAGGTTAGGTTAGGTAGGTTAGGTAGACGAAAAAACATTAATTCATGAAAACTTGGCTTATTAGGCAAATCGGGCCTTGAATAGTAGGCTGAGAAGTGCGTTCTGGCTATTAGGTACGACATATATATATATATATATATATATATATATATATATATATATATATATATATATATATATATATATATATATATATATATATATATATATAAAATGTCGTACCTAGTAGCCAGAATGCACTTCTGGCCTGAAATATGTCAGGCTCAGGTGGATTGCGGAGGTCTGGTGCAATTTTCTAAGGCCTGGTAATCCCAGTTCTCTTGCTAGCTATAGTGAGCTACTTGAAAGGTGAGTTTCATCATAACCAGCACTTTAATTTCAACCTGATATTTCTAGAGATTATCTGTTAATTATATTTCTTTGCCATGGACACCTATTGAGAATGTTACATTTACAGGGATCGTCTTGTTGATCTGGCACCCCCAACTGGTCTTCGATTTAATGGGAATGGGTATGCAGCTATGGATACCCGTAATGGTTACCGCTTCAAGAAACAGTTTGATTTACAAATGGACTTTAAGACATATGCTGAAGATGGCATTCTTTTCATGATCGATGGAGGACCTGTATGTATATACTGTAATTGTTTAATATTTATAAATCTAAAGGAAAATATATTGCTTGCACTTTGTTTATTATTTATCTTTTCTATGTATAAATTTATAATTCTTCTCAATAATTAATTGTATCTATTTCATATTTTAACTCTTGAGAAAGCTTTGAGACTGTTTTGCTGATCTTCCCTCCCCAGTAGTCTCATCATGGGTTGCCCCTTGGTGTCCTGTTTGCAAATTTTAACATGGGGTACCATTGAGAAGAAATTCCTTGTTGACCCCCCCCCCAGACCTTAAACCCGTTGTTGACTGTACATATGTGAAGACATCTTCTTTCAGATACTTGACAAGGAAAATTTCAAGCAAAATTCTTTACTTAGCTTCACCTAAGATAAAGAGAGTGAAGGTAAGTTGCCTTTCCTGAATGTAACAGTCTCAGAAAGGAATGGTGGAGTTTACACTTCAGTCTGTACTAAGAGGACTAATATAGGATTGTGCCTGAATGCTAGTAGGGAGTTCTTTGACCAGTACCAACAAAATGTTGTCAATGCCTTCATCAACAGTACATTCACACTCTGCTCCAGTTGAAAGCATGTTGACGAAAAACTCAGTAGATTAAGGCAGGTCTTAGCCATCAGTGGACACTCTTAATAGTTATATCAATGAGATAATTATGAGAAGGATAAACCATAATGCTACCTTTGATGAAGAGGTCAACACTGTGGAAGCTATCACACCTATTAACTGTCAAACGGCACAAAATATACATGTATGTAGGGAGGAACTGTCACAAAATAGTGCACTACATAAATGTATGTTTGAGGGTCTCACGCATGATTTTAAAAGCTCCATGAGGGATAGGGGCAGCTATAGTACAGCCATGGCTGATAGTAAACAAATGACATGTTGGAAAAAAATCCCACTTAGGCCACCATTGTGGAAAGGCCTTAGTTACCCGGCAGAGACCATGGCGAGCACACCACGTACCAGCGGCCGACTGCGCTCAGCACAGCCTGCAACACAATCATTGACTGATGATGAAATCAATCAGGAATTGTTCCAGGAGAGTGATGATCCTGATATTGATGACTCAGACATTGATCAGGACTACACACAGCCAGAAGATCTTGAAACGACCGATAGTGAGAATGAACAAGTGTGTGCCATGAGAGTCAGGCCTCCTATCCCCTCACCCTTGCCTTCTCGCCCATACTCAATTTCACTTCGTGCCCAACCACATAGTTCATGTGTTACTTTGCCAGATTATGAGGATTTGCTTGACGAGTCTAAGGAAGGTGAATCATTTTTTGGTTTTAGTGTTTAGAATCAGAGAGGAGTTTTACTACGCCTGTTGCTAGTGCCAGTGGTTTTGCCAAGCGAACTTTTGTCGCATCAGTAACATCTCGCCCACCCAAGTGCTGCCCATGGAGCCAATGATGAGCAGAGCCCCTCTGCATCTTCAATGAATTTTCCCTCATCATCCCTTCTCGCCCCTAATGTGCATAGATGGGCTTCAGCTTCTGGTCCTCGGATTTCTCGTTGTGGTGCCGCTGTTGCCAGTCGGAAGACAGCAGTTTTTTTTGTGGAGTAACTGGGAAAATTTTATTCAAGAAATTCCTGCCTTTGATGCTAAAGATGTTGGAATTACAAGCCTTTTCACTGATAATGATGACGAAATGTGTGAAATAGACTTCTTTACCACATATTTTGATGAGCTGCTCATGGAACATATTGTTCAGGAAATGAACAAATACGTGGCTCATCTCATTGCTGAAGAATTATCAGATTTTTCATGAATGCAGCATTGGAAAGATACAACTGTAGGTGAAATGTATGTGTATGTTGATGAAACATTGTGCCAAACACATCCTCACAGATTATTGGAGCAAAGACCAGACTGTTCCAACACCATTGTTCGGCAAATATATGTCTAGAGACAGATTTGTAATTACCTAAGTGTAATTACCTAAGTGTAGTTACAGGATGAGAGCTACGCTCGTGGTGTCCCATCTACCCAGCACTCTTTGTCATATAACGCTTTGAAGCTACTGATGGTTTTGGCCTCCACCACCTTCTCACCTAACTTGTTCCAACCGTCTACCACTCTGTTTACAAAAGAGAATTTTCTTATATTTCTCCGGCAGCTTTGTTTTGTTAGCTTAAATCTATGACCTCTTGTTCTTGAAGTTCCGGGTCTCAGGAATTCTTCCCTATCAATTTTATTGATTCCTGTTACTATTTTGTATGTAGTGATCATATCACCTCTGTTTCTTCTATCTTCTAGTTTTTGCATATTTAATGCCTCTAACCTCTCCTCGTAGCTCTTGTCCTTCAGTTCTGGTAGCCACTTGGTATCATGTCTTTGCACCTTTTCCAGTTTGTTTATGTGCTTCTTAATATGGGCACCATACAACCGCTGCATATTCCAGCTTTTGGTCTAACAAAAGTCGTGAACAATTTTTTTAGTATTTCGCCATCCATGTATTTAAAAGCAATTCTGAAGTTAGAGAGTTCAGCATAGGCTCCTCGCACAATGTTCTTAATGTGGTTCTCAGGTGACAGTTTTCTATCTAGAACCACCCCTAGATCCCTTTCTTTGTCAGAATTCTTTAAAGATTTCTCACATAATTTATAGGTTATGTGGGGTCTATGTTCTCCAATTCCACATTCCATAACATGGCATTTATTCACATTAAATTCCATTTGCCAAGTGTTGCTCCATATACTTATTTTGTCCAGGTCTTCTTGAAGGGCATGCCAATCATTTAGGTTTCTTATCTTCCCTATTATCTTAGCATCATCAGCAAACATGTTCATATAATTCTGTATTCCATCTGGTAGATCATATATGTAGACAATGAACATTAACGGTGCAAGAACTGAACCCTGTGGTACTCCACTTGTGACATTCCTCCAATCCTATACATTGCCTCTGATTATGGCCCTCATGTTTCTATCAGTTAAGAAATTTTTCATCCATGCTATAAGCTTACCTGTCACCCCTCCAATATGTTCCAGTTTCCAGAACAACCTCTTATGGGGAAATCTGTCGAAAGCCTTTTTTAGGTCCAGATAGATGCAGTCAACCCAACCATCTCTTTCCTGTAAAATCTCTGTAGCTCGTTCATAAAAACTGATTAAGTTCGTTACGCAGGATCTTCCAGATCGAAAACCATACTGTCTGTCTGATATTATATCGTTTTTCTCCAGGTGTTCTACCCATTTAGTTTTAATTAATTTTTCCAATATTTTGACTATTACACTTGTCAGTGATGCAGGTCTATAATTGAGGGGGTCTTCCCTGCTGCCACTTTTGTAGATTGGAACTATGTTAGTATTTTTCCACACATCTGCTACAACTCCTGTACACAGGGATGCCTGCAAAATCAGTTGAAGTGGAATGCTGAGCTCAGGTGCACATTCTCTCAGAACCCATGGTGAAACTCCATCTGGACCAACTGCTTTGTTCTTACTTAGCTCCTTTAGCATTTTCTCCACTTCATCTCTAGACACCTCTACGTGCTCTATGCTGTTCTCTGGAATTCTTATTGTGTCTGGTTTCCTGAAGATTTTATTTTGTACAAACACACTTTGGAACTTTTCGTTTAATGTTTCACACATTTCATTTTCATTTTCTTTGAATCTATTTCGAATTTTCAACCTCTGAATATTATCCTTTACCTGCAAATTGTTGTTTATGAATTTATAGAATAGACATGGTTCTGTTTTACATTTGTCTGCAATCCCTTTTTTAAAATTCCTTTCTGCCTCTCTCCTCACTGCCGTGTGGTTGTTTCTCGCATCTTTGTATCTCTGGTATGTTTGGGGGTTTGGCCTCTTCCTGTATTGATTCCATTTTTGTGTCTTTTGGTCTCTGGCCCTCTCGCAATTTCTATTGAAGCAATCCTGTTTCCTAGTTCTGCATCTCTATTTTGGTATAAATTTTTTGGTGCCTTTATCTTATATTTCACAAAACTTGACCTACATCTCATTCACTTCCTTGCCTAGGAACAAGTCTGTCCAATTATACTCACTAAAAAAATTTCTAAGGTCGCCATAATGTCCTCTCCTGAAGTCAGGTTTTTCAACCTCCTTTTTTTCCAGATTATAACGAATTGCATACTTCATTCCCAAAAAGACATGGTCACTTTTACCCAAGGGAGGAAGGTACTGAATGTCAAATATTTCTTCCTCCTTCCTGGTAAATATCAAATCTAGCATGGAGGGAACGTCCGCTTCCCCCATCCTCGTAGCTTGTTTAACATGTTGATACAAGAATGTTTCCAGGATGAGGTCTACAAATCTACAGGTCCAAAAATCTTCTGTTTTAGCTTCATATGGTTCCCAGTCTATGGATTTCAAGTTGAAGTCACCGACTATCAACAGTCGTGATCTATCGTTATCCGCTCTCGCTATAATCTCTCTCATTATTGTTATAAGATCTTCTCGTTTACTATCTAGCTCCTCCTTTGACCATGTGCTGCTTAGCGGTGGACTATATGCATGTATGATCATTAGTTTATCATCCTCATGGCAGATTTCTAGTGCTATTATGTCAACTTCTTGTGGATTGGCAGTCATTATTTCTTTCACCTTTAGGTGTTCTTTCACCAGCACAGCAACGCCACCGCCTTTCCTAATTTTTCTGTCCCGTCTCCAAATTGAGTAGCCCCTTGGGAATATGACCTCACTTACAATATCATCTTCAAGTTTTGTCTCCGTGAGTGCAACAATATCTGGTGTCTGCAGCTGTATTACATCACTTAACTCCAGTATCTTCAATCTCACTCCATCTATGATGGTGTATGCAATCTTCAGGAACTTGTTCCTCCTCTTCTTATTCTTCACTTCCTCTCTCTATTGATTTTGTTGGTTTGCCTTTATGTACCACTTTACTAGTCTGCCTACCCCTATCAGTTTGTAGAAAAAAAAATTGATTTCTTCTTCATTCCTGCTCTCATTTAAACCTCATTTAAACGTTTTGCCTCGGTGAGGTTCAGATTCATTTTCTC